ACATTTCCTGCAAATTACACTGATAGAATCCACTTAATTAATAAAAGCACAATCACGTGTGCACAAGCATCTTGAGTGCAAAGAGGAACTAGTCTTCATCCTAAACACTTCAATTGATGAATTTGAGCAGAACTCGGGCTCCAGGACTGCTTTCCCCACCCATGAGCCACGAGGCGGGTCCTGGCAGCACACCGAGCGTTATGTAACGGGAGACACTGCCAAGGGAACAGCAGTATGAGCACCGAGCGGCACCTAACAGCACATATAGGTGCAGTTATTACACACCGCCAGGTTTCTAAGCTGTATAGCAATAAACATGCAGGCGGCGTGTATAAACTCTGATGAGGTGGAAAAAACAGCGAGAGGTTTCTAAGGAGCATGTCTATATCTGTGTGCAACAGCTGGAGGAACTGAAATCCTGCGTAGAGTTAACACACACTCCACCGTCCAAGCGGAGACTAAATCCAGGGTTCCCACACCTAACTTCAAATTCAAGGACTTTCCAGGTCCAATACCTTCAAATTCTCAAACTCAAGGACTTTCCAGGTCCAATACCTCCTCAAATTCAAGGACTTTCCAGGTCCAATACCCTCAAAATTATCAAATTCAAGGACTTTCCTGGTCCAATAGCCCCAAATTTTCAAACTCAAGGACTTTCCAGGTCCAATACCCTCAAAATTATCAAATTCAAGGACTTTCCAGGTCCAATACCCTCAAACTCAAGGACTTACCAGGTCCTATACCCTCAAATTCTCAAATTCAATTACTTTCCAGTTTCCAGGTCCATTACCCTCAAGCTCAAGGACCTTCCAGATCAAATACCCTCAAAAATTATCAAATTCAAGGACTTTCCTGGTCCAATACCCCCAAATTCTCAAACTCAAGGACTTTCCAGGTCCAATACCCTCAAAATTATCAAATTCAAGGACTTTTCAGGTCCAATACCCTCAAACTCAAGGACTTTCCAAGTTCAATACCCTCAAACTCAAGGACTTTCCAGGTCCAATACCCTCAAACTCAAGGACTTTCCAGGTCCAATACTCTCAAACTCAAGGACTTTCCAGGTCCTATACCCTCAAATTCTCAAATTCAATTACTTTCCAGGTCCAATACCCTCAAGCTCAAGGACCTTCCAGGTCCAATACTCTCAAACTCAAGGACTTTCCAGGTCCAATACCCTCAAACTCAAGGACTTTCCAGGTCCAATACCCTCAAGCTCAAGGACCTTCCAGGTCCAATACTCTCAAACTCAAGGACTTTCCAGGTCCAATACCCTCAAGCTCAAGGACCTTCCAGGTCCAATACTCTCAAATTCTCAAACTCAAGGACTTTCCAGGTCCAACACCCTCAAACTCAAGGACTTTCCAGATCCAATCCCATCAAGCTCGAGGGCTTAATGTGGAAACACTTATTTTGTCCAACAACAAACGTAGAGGTTTCATCGTAATGATTTTGTGCACGTGTGAACGTCACGGCAACATACAACACAAAGTACCTCAACACTACGCGCGGACTATACATAATTGCCCACATTTTTAATAAGCACCAACATTTCTCGAATTGTAAAAAATAAATAAACAAAGAAATCAATTTTAAAAAAATCAATCTGAATACTATCAAACCAATCCTTACAATCCAAATGAAATATCAATCGTATTTAAACAATTCACTCACAATTATACGTGACTTTTTTCCAACTGTGCAATAAGATTATAATTATTACTGCTTATCGATTGATTTGCATGATTCAAGGTATGCAAGTCCTATACTTTAATGCAGGTGAATTATGAAAATCCATGTTTGTGTGTCAAACTATAATTAACAACATTTCTATTTTTCAATGTAAAAAAAACTCATGCAAAACAATGTTTATAATCACAGTACAAATCATAAAAATAACATACAAAACCTTTCCACCAATCACACAGATTTTCATTCTGAATGAAATTAATCCTAACACCACGTCATTACTACACGTGGCACAACGCAATGATAAAAGCCGTATTTTCCACGTTAATCGAAAATCGATTGCACAATCGATCGGAACAACCCACACAATTTTCGAAACTGAAAATAGGGAATCGATTTTCAACTCTCTCAGATGAACACACCTTGAAAAACTCACTTAATCAAGTCTAAGCATCAAGCTAAATAATAACAGATCAGCAGTGATGAATTGCTTAGCATATATAAACACAGCACAAGTGGTGAGTACTAGTGTTATGTAAATACATCTTTTCATGAATCATGAAGATTGTACTGTATACAATAAAACAATAACACTATTGCATAATCACAGGGTTCACTCGCTGAATCACTGCTTTACTGTAATGCATTGCACACAATAAAGCAATAACATTATAAAGCAGTTGTATAATATGCCAAGACTTACAACAGAAACATAATACAGAAGAACTCAAGAGAGTTTAGTGTGTTTTGGAATTAGTCGGTCTAGTTTTCTGAGATATTTAAACTGTAAATTAATTTTCCAGATGTTTGTGATTACTGCATAAAGAGTTGTTTAAAATCATTTCGTGAGAGATTACAAGGGCAGGGATGCATCGATATTAAACTGTTGGCCGATACAGATAACTCTAAAGCTGATATCCGATATATTGACCGAAAAATCTAAATCCAAAAGTTACATAATTTTAGAGAGCTTAATTACAAAAACAAGTTTCACCATTAAGATCCATCTCTCAAGCACACATTAGAGGCTAATTTTAAATCTTATATGACATATCAATATGGTGGCTTAGTTTAGTTTTTAAGGTTATACTCTCATGAGCAATTACTGCTGAACTACACCAGCAAAAACACATGACACATTTGGACTGGAAATGACTATATCCATATTTTAGTGACGAGAGACTCTGATAAACAGTCTTCTACATGGTCAAATCTGCATAGCATCACTATATCAGTATTATACGGCATATTTTTGTATTTGATGATGCTTTAAAGGGACAGTTCATCAAGTTCATTGAGTCATTTACTCGCCCTCAAGTTGTTTAAAACCTGTATGAATATCGTTCTCCTGTTGAACAGAAAGGAACATATTGAAGAATTTTTGTAACCAAAAAGTTGCTGCACTTTCATAGTACGTTTTCTCTCTCCATAATTGAAGTCAATGTTGTTTGGTTTCACATATTTTTCAAAATATCTTCTTTTGTGTTCAACAGAAGAAAGAAACTCATACAGGCTTGGAAAAAATGAGGGTGACTAACGTTAAATGATGACAGTAGTATTTATTTTTTGGGGCGTACAAACAACACGTAAGTTACAATTCGGCTGTGTCTCATATCACAGTGACTTTATAGAGTATTATGGCATAATTCATAACTCCAAAATCGCAAATGTTCTAAACGCGCCATAAATGTCGCAATAAACTGTACGTTACATTTGACACACAGCCACTGATGCCAATGAGGAGCTAACGCTCAGCTAACCCTGTTAGCTCAGCTCGACAGCTCTAAATACGAGCCAGACTGCTGACAAATCAGACATGTACATATTCATTTACAACAATAACAACGATTTTGTAATAATTTACCTCATTGTTAGAATATGTTAGCCGTTGCTTGACGTGAAACTTACCCTCGAGAAGGCGCTGAATGATGCTGTCTATGTTGAGTTTGTCGATGTCAGCCATGACTAGCCGAATGAAACACAAACGCCACCAGTCAAAACACACCAGAAACGACAAATAAAAGTATTCCGATAACAAATAAACAGATGTATTGCACAAAAGGTAACAAATCGCGGGTTTGAGCGGGCCGTCAGACGCGCGTGCTGCGACGGAGGCTCACCGGCTCTGCGGAAGGATACACATTACAACACATTCAGAAACATCACAGATGCTGTACGACGCGCGGATGAATACACCACAGCTGCACGAGTGAGGAAAAATAGTGCGGAGGAAATGGGAGGGAGCACAGCCGACTTTCACAATAATCCAGTAATGTGTTGACGACTTGGTACGAAATACTTTTAGTTATATAACATTTATTTAAATAAGACGTTTTACATTATTTGAATGACAACTAGCTAACGGCATCTTCCTTCACATTAGCCTACATCAACAAACAAAAAAGAAGAATAAGGCTATATTGTTATTATTTAATATATTACATTATTATTATTTTATTTGTAAATATAGCATATTTAAAGATCATGCATTTAATTGATGCGGATGTCAATTTAAAATGTACAGTAGCCTACTTTTACTGTTGTATCCTCTTATTACAGTATTTCTACTGGATGAGGGAACTTGCTCACCATCATATTTCATCATCTCGTCTTTTAGGAAATTAGGTTTTCTTGACACGTTTCACCATTAGCATCCTGATATCGTCAGATTGCAGAAGGAACTGGAATAAACAGTGACACAATTCTGTTTTATATGCATCACTGCACAACAACATTGTGTTTAAGAGGTAGGCTAGTCCTAGAAAAACGTTAAAATTATTAAAATTATTTGGACAAACAGAAAGATATTTAAATACATATATTTTAGAAAGTAAGCTTCAGTGTGCAAGTGTTTCTCAGATGAAAAAGACATTGGGCTCATCATGTTTAGAGACCTGTCTGTGCTGTCCTCTAGTGTTCGTCATTGTGCAGTGACATTCCTTTCCTTTCCATTCAATTCGGATTGACAGAAAGAATTCACTGAATTACAATTTAAAGAAATTCAACACAGTCACTCAAAACATATGCGGTAGCAGGTGCAACTGGTGATGTAATATCTGATATACAGCACAGTGAAATTTTGACCATTGTTTTCAGAATGTGACAGAAACTTTGGAACAACTTGAGGATGAGTAATAATATTTAACAATATAACGATTTTTTTTGTATTTTTAATCAAATAAACGCAGCCTTTCTGAACAGAAGAGACAAAAAAAAAATCTTTATTTACACACAACGTCTAATTCGATTTGGAATTAAAATAGAAGTTTTTACAACCGTAAAAACTGGATAAAATCATTCACGCTCGCATCAATATTTCATGTTCATTTATTTATTTATTACAGTATTTTGCATGGAAATGTTGACAGGTTAACATGCCAAGAACATCCTTCAATCATATCTGGCCATTCTCACTTCAGTGACCTCAGGTTTCACACCTGTCAATCATTAATCAGTGGGCAGGCCCAAGCGCTGTGATTGGCTGAGGCCTGACGGATTACTCCTGGTCCTTCTCCTCTCCGTGAGTGATGATGTGCACCAGATTCTTGTAGTCCAGGTTTCCCGCAACATCTGGAGGGAAAGCGTTGAACATCTGCTCCATCTGAAAACCACACGACATCAGTCGTCAGTCAGTGATGATGGTCACTGTAACCATGGCAACCGTCAGCATCAGCACCAGCCTCACCTCCTCTGTGGAGAATCTGTCCGCCTGTGTGGTCAACATCTCCGTCACACTGAGGAGAGAAAAAACATTTCAGCTCAAAATAACCACAAATCTGGGTGTTTCTAGACCAAATATACAAACATTCTTCAAAATCAAGATGCGTTTACACATTCCTCACATTTCAATTCAAAATAACTCAATTTCCTGCATAACTCTAAATATCTCCATCGGGATTCTGTGCCCTCTTGTGGACAATAATAATAACACATGATATGTCATGCCTCTCACACACACATACACATTATACAATAATTTTTTTTAAGTTTTAGCATTTTTAGTTTGAATTTTAGGGTTTTCTATGTGAACTGAAGTCAGTCATTCCAGAGGGGCTCAGATTGATCTGTTACTTTTTAAAATGTCAACCACAAACTCCTCGAATTTATGACATTTTTGTTTGTGAGTGTGTTCATGGTGTCTTGGACCCTCTGATGTAAAAATGACCAAAGACAAAAAACAGATTTGTCCACATGTGCCCCAGTCGATCGCTCAGACATTAATAACGCTGAATGTCCTACTACTCCTTCTTCAGGATGCCCTTGCCCTCGGGGTCGAACACCTTGAAGGCGTTCAGGATGGTTTCCTCGGGATCGGCTCCTGTGAGAAACACACACACTCTGTGATTGGCAGAACTTCAGCATGTCACATGACCAGCCGAGTCTCCCGCAAACCTGCCTTTGAGTTTCTCCCCGAACATGGTGAGGAACACGGTGAAGTTGATGGGGCCCGAAGCCTCCTTCAGCATCTCGTCGATCTCCTCCTGCTTCACATTCACACGCCCTGAGGAGCATCATGGGACAGGAGAGTGTTTAATATTTCAGATTTAATTACAGTATATGTTAAAAAAAAACGTTGTACATGTTTGATGAGGATGATGAAGATGATGATGAAGATGAAGATAACGGTGTGTTCTGCTGAGACTGACCGAGAGCTGCGAACGTGTCCCTCAGGTCGTTCTTGTCTATGAAGCCGTCTCTGTTCTGGTCCATGATGGTGAAGGCCTGAGACGGAGAGAAGATATCAGAACTATAACCATCATCAGTATCTTCATTACTCAAAATAAATCATATGGAGTCTTGCACAAGACTATATATGAAGAGTTCAGATGCAAAAGCCTCTAAATGCCATTTGAAATTTTCTTCTTTAATGATCATTTTTATCAAACTTGTATATTTAAGTTCAGTAATTTCACTTAAATGGCAATGATAATTACCTATTAATTGTTATTTAAGTGAAATTACTGAACTTAAATATACAAGTTTGATAAAAATCATCATTAAAGAAGAAAATTTCAAATGGCATTTAGAGGCTTTTGCATCTGAACTCTTCATATATATATATATATATATATATATATATATATATATATATATTAACAGTGTATTATTAGTATAGTAATATAAATGAAAATGGAAAAATGAGAATATGGTGCAAAAGTTCATTTATTACAGTAATTCAACTTAAAAGGTGAAACCAATATATTATATAGACTCATTACATGCAAAGATGATATTTCAAGCCTTTTTGTTATAATTGTGATGATTATGGATTACAGATATGGGGTTTTCATAAGTTGTAATCCATAATCATCAAAATGATAACAAATTATGGCTTGAAATATCTCACTTTGATATCACACAATATTTAATAAATAAACTTTTGCACCATATTGTTTCAGTTTCACCTGCATATATAAATAGTGATCAGTTTAAACTAATACATTCTCCTGTTTTGATTTAACTACACAATTTTCTTAAATGAAAAAAAAGTGCTGCATGGGCTCCGTACTAATTAAATAAAATATCAAAAAATTATCAAAAAATATTTATTGCAAGCAGCTATTTTCCAAAGTTTCAAATTTTTGTTTACTTAAAGTTGAAATGCTAAAACAATGAATTCCAAATAAATTCTAAAAAAAACTATCTAAAACAAAATTATTAAAAAAACACACAAAACTTTAACTAAAATAAATATGAAAACAAAATGTTAACAATAACTACATCTATAAAATAGTTTCAAACTTCATGAGATGACGTTACTGAAGTATACTATAATTGAATATGAAAATGAAAAATGGCTCAGATAATTTGGCCTTGAGGGAATTTGCTGAGATCTATTGTTGAGCTCCATCACACATGTGCCAGTTATCCCAACAGAATCCAGTCAATCTGGTATGTTAAGGAGAGTCTCTATAAATATATATTTCAGTCCTCAATAGGGATCAGACAGGAATATCATATTCCATAGGGAGCTTTACAGAAAGATAGACAGCAGCTGCTCTCTCCAGGAGCCAATCAAAACACACCCCCACACACCGACAAATCAAGCTATTTTATTTTTTATTTAATATTTTGTATTTTAGGGGGGGTTTATGGTACTAAATTATATTTATGTAGTAGTTATGATCCATTTATGAACATAACTGATATCCACCAATCACAGTGGAGATGAGAGTCACATGATCAATCACAGCTCATCACAAGCAGATTTACTTTACTAATATACAAAAGCTGCACAGTGTCATTCACACACACACTAAACACACACGACACTGTAAAAATGCAATAACCAATAATTTATCATAAAAACCTAATGTACATAACTGATTTAATAACTGATCCAATTAACAGTTTTCACTGTAGCATTTTAACTTTTACCGTTTTTAATTATTTTTTTTTTTATTTGTTTCATTTATTTTTTTTTGAAGGTTCTTTAGCACTAATATTGTAATCCTTTACATCTCAGACTCCAATTTTGAGCAAATAAAGTTAAGTTGGACTTTTTTTTCAGATTTTTTATTCCACAAGGTTGGTATGAAACCTGGTACATGTAAATATTTATCTAAAAAAAAATAAAATAAAATAAAAATATATATATATATATTTGCAGTTGAAGTTGTAGAGTAAAACATGTTTTGTAATATATATATATATATATGTCATATAATAATGTAAATCAGTATTTTTGTGCTTTTTTCGTAATTATACATTTTATAAAACTTTTTCAAGTTCTTAAGTTTTTTCAACTTTTTTCAATTCAGCAATAATCTGCAAGTATCTTCTTTAAAAAGACACTTTCTTTAAAAACCTTTCAACATGTAAATTTAATTTTATATATTACAATTTTTAGGTCTGTAAACTGACATTACATTAAAAAAGAACAATTCTTTTAACTGTTAAGGCTGTAAAACCTAAAAGGTCGCTACTGTATTTTTACGGTAGATTTCTGGCAACCGCAGCTGCTGTTTTTACCGTAAAATGAACAGATTCGTATTTTCTGTTTAGGAGTGTGTGCAGGTGTTACGCTGGTTCAGGAAAGCATCCGACCTCCTTGAACTCCTGGATCTGAGCCTGCTCAAACATGGAGAAGACGTTGGAGTTCGCTCCGTCCGCCGACCTCTTCTTCGCTTTCTTGGGCGCCTGCACACACCAAACTCTCCTAAACAACACACTTCACCTCATCATTGCAACTACAGATTCATTCATTCCCATTAATCAGTCCAAACTGTAAATGAGTCAATGAATCAACTCATGATTCATTTGCAGCATCACTCTAAAATATTAGCATTTCTCAACAAGGAAAAACAAGTTCTTCGTTAATATAAAGGATTTTTTAGTATTGATATTTTTACATGGGTTTTATAACTGCTTTGAGTTTTAAGGTTGGCGTAAATGTCTGTAAACTGAATAGATAACGAGCTGGTCATTTTCCATCAAGACATTCCCTGTTATATGCAAATGTGGTCACACTTTACACTAAGCTTCATTAGCTAATTACCTCAGTAGAATGAACTATACTGCAGCATTGATCAATTAATTTCAACATTTACTAGTACAATATTAAAATCAAAGGTTGTATTTGTTAACATTAATTACTGCACTGTGAACTAACACAAACAGCTTAATTATTATTAACTAACATTAACAAAGATTAATAAATAGCTACTGTAACAAATGAATTGTTTAATGTTAGTTCATACATTATGCTAATGAACCTTAAAGTGTTACCAAAATGTACATTTGTTATTGTAATATTAGCGATTAACTATGACTAAACACAGTTTTCTTGATTATTTTTAACAAACACACAAATGCAGCAAATAAGATGCTAAAAATGAAATAAACTGCAATAAAGTTTACAGGTGTTTATATTTAATTGGGTTGAGTTTTAAAGTTGATAGATAATGAGCTGCTAATTAGGCCTGTTTTTAAATTAAATGTATATTTGTATTGTTATGTTAGAGCAAGATTAACCATGAAAAACCCTTGATTATTTTTAACAAACACGAATAAGATGCTAAAATTGAAACGAACATGAATTTGACTCAATATTTACTTTGAAAACTTTTAATTATTTAACAATTTTATTTATAGTTTTTAGTACATTATTCTTTGATTCATTGCTGATAAGTTTTTGAAACTGACACTAAGAAGAATGTTAATATAAAGAATGAATAATTAAAAGCGGATTGATAACTCTGGATCTCTGATTAAAATCCCCCAGAATCCCCCAGTCTAGCGCACGAGTGACTCGAGAGCATCAGTGAACAGTGGAGACTCACCATGAGGACAGAGAGGATCCCGAATGCTTCTGGACAATGGGTTCGGACGGACGGGCTTTTGTAGATTAGCTGTGCTGTTCTGGGCCGATATAAATAACACATGCCCTGTTTAGGAAGTGACAGGTAGATGATGATCCTCAACACACACACACACACACACACACACACACACACAGAAGCGTGATGTGAGAACAACAGTGGTTTAGGATGACAGGAGCCTGTTCTCTGGAGGACAGAAGAAGCGTTCAGCTGTTTGGTGCTGATGATCTCTCCTCACTTCTTATTTATTTCAGGGAATCGCTTTAGGAGCTCAGTAAAGATGCAGAGATTCAGAGATTCGGAGATTCAGAGATTCAGAGATTTAGAGATTCAGAGATTCAGAGATTCAGAGATTTAGAGTTTTAGAGTTTCAGAGATTCAGAGTTTCAGAGATTCAGAGATTCAGAGTTTCAGAGATTCAGAGATTCAGAGTTTCAGAAATTCAGAGTTTCAGAGATTCAGAGATTCAGAGTTTCAGAGATTCAGAGATTCAGAGATTCAGAGTTTCAGAGATTCAGAGATTCAGAGTTTCAGAAATTCAGAGATTCAGAGATTCAGAAATTCAGAGATTTAGAGTTTCAGAGATTCAGAGATTTAGAGTTTCAGAGATTCAGAGATTCAGAGTTTCAGAGATTCAGAGATTCAGAGTTTCAGAGATTCAGAGATTCAGAGATTCAGAGTTTCAGAGATTCAGAGATTCAGAGATTCAGAGTTTCAGAGATTCAGAGATTCAGAGATTCAGAAATTCAGAGATTTAGAGTTTCAGAAATTCAGAGATTCAGAGATTCAGAGATTCAGAGATTCAGAGATTCAGAGATTCAGAGATTTAGAGTTTCAGAGATTCAGAGATTCAGAGATTTAGAGTTTCAGAGATTCAGAGATTTAGAGTTTCAGAGATTCAGAGATTCAGAGATTCAGAGATTCAGAGATTCAGAGATTCAGAGATTCAGAGTTTCAGAGATTCAGAGATTCAGAGATTCAGAGTTTCAGAGATTCAGAGATTCAGAGATTCAGAGTTTCAGAGATTCAGAGATTCAGAGATTCAGAAATTCAGAGATTTAGAGTTTCAGAGATTCAGAGATTTAGAGTTTCAGAGATTCAGAGATTCAGAGATTCAGAAATTCAGAGATTTAGAGTTTCAGAAATTCAGAGATTCAGAGATTCAGAGATTCAGAGATTCAGAGATTCAGAGATTTAGAGTTTCAGAGATTCAGAGATTCAGAGATTCAGAGATTCAGAGATTCAGAGATTCAGAGATTTAGAGTTTCAGAGATTCAGAGATTCAGAGATTTAGAGTTTCAGAGATTCAGAGATTTAGAGTTTCAGAGTTTCAGAGATTCAGAGATTCAGAGTTTCAGAGATTCAGAGATTCAGAGATTCAGAGATTCAGAGATTCAGAGATTTAGAGTTTCAGAGATTCAGAGATTCAGAGATTCAGAGATTTAGAGTTTCAGAGATTCAGAGATTCAGAGATTCAGAGATTCAGAGATTCAGAGATTCAGAGATTCAGAATTGCCCAGAAGAAACAGGAAAAACAAACCCATACTGTGACAGTTTCACACCTGATAACGTTTTGTTCAGAACTGATTTATGGGTGCACATCATTATTGTTAACAATCTTGAATCAGGATCAGTTCCTCTTGCAGCATCTCTTCTCTTCTCTGATGAAGTGGGCGGGGCTATAACCTGTCACTCACATGATATGAGATCAACCAGTAGCAAACCACAACCATCCAATCAATCCCCCACAGACACAATCAAGCCCCGCCCACATTTGATCTTGTTCCAAAAGCTGTTTCAGGGATAGATAGATAGATAGATAGATAGATAGATAGATAGATAGATAGATAGATAGATAGATAGATAGATAGATAGATAGATAGATAGATAGATAGTTCAGTGATTTCACTTAAATTGCAATGATAATTACCTATTAATTGTTATTTAAGTGAAATTACTAAACTTAAATATACAAGTTTGATAAAAAAAAAAATCATCATTAAAGAAGAAAATTTCAAATGGCATTTAGAGGCTTTTGCATCTGAACTCGTCATACATATATATATATATATATATATACAGTATATATATATATATAGTAAATCAGAGTGAAAGTCAGTGTCAAACAGACAGATTCCCATCTTCACACACACACACACACACACACACGTGTTCACATGTCAGCAGTAATTCTACTCAATTTGATCATATTTTGCTGAATGTAAGAGTGCTCTTGTGTTTGTGCGGCTGATCTCTGTAATATAAAGCAGAACGCAGTCGACACACACCGCTCTCTGGCTCTTATATTATATGCGCGGCGAGAAAATCAATACTGGGTTTGTGAGCTTCAAATCAATCAACAGGATCAATAAAACCAATAGAGTTGATCAATATGTCATCTGTGACCCTCATATAATCTGCAGCTTGCAGGAGATTTCAGGAGTTTCAAGTCATTTGAATTTGGATCATAAAACTGAGAAGAGAATTCGGCTCCTGAAATATGAATATGATCATCGTTCAGTAATCAGTGTAAAGTGAAGGAGTCTCTTCCGAATATGGGGACTGAAGCGCTCGATTCATGTGGATTTGTTTTAAAATCTCTTTATGAATGTTTTGAAGCATCACACCGGTGGTTGCGTAGATTTTGTGTTTCGAAGATGAACGAAAGTCTTACGGGTTTGGAACGGGTTCGTCGATTCACTTTTGGGTGAACTAACCCTTGAAGATTATGTTTGGAATGGAATCATACAATGCAATCATAATAATAAACACATAAAACAATAGAAATACAGTAGAAATATCAATGCTGCTATATAAAGATTAAAATCCTCATAAAAAGTAATTAAAGTATCTTTATATGGGATAAATAGCAAGAGTATGTTATGAATTCAGCAATAGTGAATTCATAAAATCAAGTGAAATATTTGAAGCAATATTTATTGACATGATAAATATAAATGCATTTCTGAGATGAATATTATAAATGCACTAAAAACATAATGAGCCTGAAGTGAAGGTCTCTGCTCTGGATTGATTGATTGATTGATGGATTGATTGATTGATTGATTGATTGATCTAGGCTCCGCCCCCTGCCAGCTGGTCTATTGATGAATTGATTGAGCTCTTTGTTTGCAGGTATTGATTGTTTGGAGGAATGTGAGTATCGGTCACTGGGTGTGTGTGTGTGTGTGTGTGTGTGTGTGTTTCTCTCTCTCTGTCCTCTAGTCTCGGATGTGATGTTAGTTTGGAGAAGAAGCTCGTCGTTCACACACATCGTGGAAATACACTAAGATCAAGAGGAGCTTTACACAAATATAGACGGTATGTGTGTGTCAGTTTGTAGATGTTACTCGAGCTGGAGTGTGTGTGTGTATATTTTGCTTTAGAAACAGTGTGTGTGAAGAGTGTTTAGAGATATTTTAGATGCTGTATGATCACAGTTTTCAGCTTTTCATCTTTTTAAAGTAGAAATCTCATTATTAGCTTTGTCTGTCGATGGTTTTGAGATGAGCATCTCGAGGACGAACGTGTCAAAGAGTCACATGATCAATCTCAGACTTATTCATTTGATTACATGCATATTTTTTGTTTATAATGAATTTTATGTTTTATGTTTAGTCAAAGGAAAGTTGTAGTCAAAATCTGATCACATATATTTTTTGTTTGACTGACATCATAAATTAGGGTTTGTTTGAGTTTTTTTAGTGTCTTGTGAGTTTTGAGCTCATTCTTCATATTTGCTCTCATAAATCTGAGGCATATTTACATATTTTAAAGACTATATAAATGTAAATATATTAAATGACTAAATATGAATGTAAATATACCAAATATATTATAAATATTCTAAATGTACTACTAAATATAAATGTAAGTATCCCGAATATATTACTAAATAAACTACTAATATATATAATATGTGTGTGTGTGTGTGTGTGTGTGTGTGTAAGTATCTTAATATATTACTAAATATAAATAAGTAACTAAATATATTAGTTCGTTTTTAAATTTAAATCTAAATTTACTAAATAGATTATTAATAGTATACACAATATTACTAAATATACATATACATTTAAATATCCAGATTTGCTGAATATAATTGTAAATATAACCAATATATAATATATTACTGAAAATAAATGTAAATATTTCAGATATATTACTGATTATAAATTTAAATATTCCAGATATATATTACTGAATATAAATGTAAATATTCCAGATATATTACTGAATATAAATGTAAATATTCCAGATATATATTACTGAATATAAATGTAAATATTCTGGATATATTGCTGAATATAAATGTAAATATTCAAGATATATTACTGAATATAAATGTAAATATTCCAGATATTGCTGAATATAAATGTAAACATTCCAGATATATTACTGAATATAAATGTAAATATTCCAGATATTGCTGAATATAAATGTAAACATTCCAGATATATTACTGAATATAAATGTAAATATTCCAGATATATATTACTGAATATAAATGTAAATATTCTGGATATATTGCTGAATATAAATGTAAATATTCAAGATCAATTACTAAATATAAATGTAAACATTCCAGATATATTACTGAATATAAATGTAAATATTCTGGATATATTGCTGAATATAAATGTAAATATTCCAGATATATATTACTGAATGTAAATATTCGGGATATATACTGCTGAATATAAGTGTGTTTATGTTAAGTGCTGTTCTGTTGACTGACTGAAGATGATGATGAAGCCTCTCGCTCACTTTCAGCTCTGATGGTCTGGATGTGATGATGAAGATGTTTGCCAATAGAGACTTTCGTGACCTTCATCATCTTCAAGAGGAAGTCCAGAGATTACAGGAAGTCCAGGAGAGATCAGCCAATCACATCGCTCTGCTACAGGAAGTCCAGGAGAGATCAGCCAATCACATCGCTCTACTTCAACAGCAGCTGGCCAATAAAACACAAGAGATGGAGGTAGAGATTATGAGCAGTGTCTGAGGAGAAATGCATCACAATATTGTGTTACTCCCTTCAAAAGTAAATACTTAGTATAACAAAATACTTAGTATATACTTTTTATAACAAAAAAGTTATATATTTGGGCAAAAGTAAAAACCCCTTCACTGTTCTGGAGAACGGAAGAATAGTTTAACACTTTCTTTACCACACAGCGAGAGCTGTCAGTTAATAAATGTGAAAACAAAGTAACTTTGCATTAATTATTTGAAAAAGTAACTAAATGTACATTTTAAAAGTAGTGTGTTACTTTAGTTACTTGAAAAAGTAATCTGATTACATAACTTGTAATGATTGTTCATGTTAGAGACTCCAGGCCGAGTTGCAGGATTATGAGAAGATCAAAACTGAGCTCAGGTAATGCACTCATATTCTCTCCTCGTATGATCATCAATAATGAGTTATTAAAGTCTCGTATCCTCCCTCTCAGGACTCTACGAGCGCTGACACACACTGATGACGACATGTTCCCTCCTCCATCAGACTGTGCTGGTATATGAACTGTTTCATACACTGTCATTACATGGACAAGAGCATGATTGATTGATTTTATTTAAAAAAAAATTATTTAAAATAAAATATTTCAGCTTTTTAGTTTGTTTTTATTTTATTTATTTTTTTGTTTTTAAATATTGTATCTAATTTGAATTTATTTAAAATAATTTCACATTTTGTTTATTTGAGCTATTTATGTTTAATTTATTTCAAATTAAATATTTTCGCTTTTTGTTTTTCTTTAATTATTTATTTAAAATTTTCTAATTAAATAATTTTCAGATTTGTTTGCAAGTTTTATTTGGATTGTTTTTCTTTTAAAATATTTTCTCATTTCAATTTATTAACAATGTCAGCTTTTCAGTTTTATTTTGATCATTTTTATTTATAAATTATTTATTTTAATTTATTTAAAATGTATATTTCTGCTTTTTTACTTGGTTTTATTTAAATTATTTATTGAATTCAAATATTTATTTATTTTATAAATTTATAAAGTGTATATTTATTACATTTTAACTGAATATACAGCCTCAGTAAAATCTAATGCATAGAAAGTGAAAACCGGATTTAAAAACCTTTATATGCTTTACAAAAACACTTACAGTAAAAAAACGTTGGGAGACTAGTTTAACCCAACTGGATTTTAACCCAATGCATTGGGCTAAAATAACCCACAGATGGGAAGGTGCTATAGTTGGGTTATTTTTAAATGAGTGGTAAAGTAGCAGTAGATGAAACTCAAACAAAGAGAATATGGTGCAAAAGTTCATTTATTTGAGTAATTCAACTTAAAACGTGAAACTAATGTATTATATAGACTCATTACAGATATGAAAACCTGTTCACAATATTCTAATTTTGACTTTGGGGTTTTCATATCTGTAGCTGAGTAATAATCATCAAAATTATAACAAATAAAGGCTTGAAATATCTCACTTTCCATGTAATGAGTCTATATAATATATTACTGAAATAAATGAACTTTTTGTGAATTTCATCGCCAGATCCTGTGATCCCGAACGAGTTTCATCAGGTCTGTGTAAAAGAGGAGCCGTGGAGTGAATCGTGTCCAGTGGACAGCCTGCGCTCTTCCTCCTCCTCCTCCTCCTCCTCAGTGAGCCTCCACGTGTGTGTTGAAGAGGAGGACGGGGGGATGCTGCCCGAGGAGGAGTGCGACACCGCTGGACTCGTTCTCCAGGTGAAGGAGGCGCTCCAGAAGCACGGCGTCGGCCAGCGCGTGTTCGGCCACTGTGTGCTGGGTCTCTCCCAGGGATCCGTGAGTGATATCCTGGCCCGACCCAAACCCTGGAGGAGCCTGACCCGGCGAGGCCGAGAGCCCTTCCTGAGGATGCGGAGCTTCCTGTCGGACCAGAGCCGCGTGCGCGCCCTCGCCGTCGCCCAGCAGAGACTGAGAGGTGAGCATATCTCGGGTTCAAAAAGCATAAAAATAATTTAATAATAAACAGGTAGTATTATTTATTTATGCATGCACTGTAAAAATATTGTTGGTTTAACTTAAAAAAAATGATGTAACCTGGCTGCCTTAAAAATTTAAGTTCACTGAAATGGAAAAATTGAGTTAATACAATGAAGGTGATTGGTTTAATCATCAGGAACTTATAATATTATGTTATCTGAACTACGTAAATTATTTAAGTTGATTTGACAAAAGAAATAATGATGTGATAACAAATCATGAAAATATTTTTTTACAGTGTGGATGATTCTTGAAGAATAATGATGCAGATTTTATATTGAGTAAATATAATGGTTTAAAAAAATATAAATTTATATAAATATTTATATAAATATAAATATTTTACTTGATATTTTTGTCAGTAAGGGGAAAAAAACAAGATACTTCATTAAAAAAAGAAACGTATGAAGCAAAATGACATTAGATATTAAATAGTCATTAACAGATCTTGTTTTCAGAAAGTTAAACACTTGATGAATTAGGCCTAGGCTATATTCCTTTTGACAAATAGGCCTAGTTTTTCTTGTTGTAAGCAAAAACCTTAATATATCAAATTTTTGTTAAACCTTCAATCTTATCATCTTATAATGTAAGTATGCCAGAACAATTATTTGTTGCACAAAATTGTCCTTAAAACATGTATATTAATATTACCTTGAAATGCACCTGCCAGACAACAAAGTTATTATGCAAAGTCTATTTAAAAAATGTTTAATACATTTGAATATTTTTTCAAATAGTTGAGTTAAGTGAATGATTCAATGATTCACTTCATTACTGCATGATTCAGTGTTTTTGAATGAATCTCTTGAGTGAATGATTCAGTGACTCACATCATTACTGGATGATTCAGTGATTTTGAATGAATCTTTTGAGTAAATGATTCAGTGACTCACTTCATTACTGGATGATTCAGTGTTTTTGAATGAATCTCTTGAGTGATTGATTCAGTGTCTCACTCATGTTTTAACAGTCTCTTGTCTCCACCTACTGGTGTAATGATGTAATGATTCAATCTTTATCTGAAGCAGAAAGTTTCTTCCAGAAGCAGATTGACTCTATTGTGGTCTCTACTGTTTGTATTGAGTCATTCATGATTCTGGCTGTCTCTTTTCACTGAAGGCATCGTCCCGTGGGTTCGTCCTCCAGAGATGACCTCAGATCAGGTGATCAGGAACATTCTGGATCAGAACCGTTCGGAGCGTGAGTTCAGCTCAGCATCGCTACTATAAAACCATTTATTATTCTTTGTAAAGTTTCATACATCAACTTAAATATTATATTTATATATTTTAATATATAAATGTTTAAACACATTTATGTTTAGTGGATTTTTTTTGGTTTATTTTTTTTTTTAAATATGTTTTGAATGCATGATTTAATATTAGCAATTAAGTATTGTGTGTGGTCAATATTTGTGTCTAATTTGAGCAAATTCAGAGAATTTAAAATTTAAGGTTGTTAATATCAACAAAATGTCTTTATTTATTTATTTTTTTACTTTTTTTTAAAGATTTTAACAGACATAAATTTGAGCTATTTTAGTACATCAAATTAAGTGAAAATGAAAAATGTTGCCTTGGCCACAAGCTGAAACAAAAATATATATTTTATTTTAAGTTTTAATGTTTACTTTATTTCATTATTTATTTATTTTTAGCTGAAACAAATGTTACCTTGGCAAATATAAAATAAATAAGTTTTAGAAATATTTATAAAAATGTGAAATAAAAATAAATTCACTTTATTTTCATCAAGTGAAAGAGCTAGCTGCCACGGCAACATAAAAAACAACTAAATGTTTTATTTAGTCGGCAACAAATTTTTTTTTAGTTTAGTTAAGTACTGAAATAGCTAAAAATGTATTTTAAAAAAATGTATGCATCAAATATAAAGTTTTTTTTCCTACATTTTTTTGTTATTTTAGTACTTAACTAAACAAAAAATTGTAAGTACTTAAATGTACATAAAAAATGAAAAATTAGAAAATTAAAGTGTAAAACGTACATTATTTTTGTTTAGTTAAGTAATAAAATAACTAAAAATAAAAATTATTTACGGTGTTCGCTTTCATTTTCTCATTTTTCGTTTATCTAAGTACTAAAATTACTAAAAATTAAGTAATTTAAAAGAATTACTCAACATTTATTTACTACATTTTTATTTCATTTTATTTAAAGTTTGCCTTGGCTACTAACTAAAATAAATAGCCTATATGTTCAAGTTGAGGTACTACAGTTACTTAACCCTTTCTGAACCGCAGTGTGTGTGTTCATGGTGTTTCAGTGATGGATGTGGACAGCGGGTCTCAGCGTGGATCAGAGGACGTCATCAGAAACATCCTTTATCAGGCCAAACACGAGATGCACGTGACGAACGAGGTGCATTATGGGAAACTGAGTCCCAGTGTTCAGTCGCCGGCTGATTTTGTCCAAAGTATCATCCGAAAGGTCAAATGTGAGCTGAATGAAGACACTCACCCATCAGCGTCTCCAGCTCCTCTGTCCATCACACACTCGTTCCCGCCGGAGCCGAGGACGCAGGTGTGTGTGGGCAGCTGTGAGGATGAGATGCTCGACTCGCTGCATCTGGACACCGTCAGCATCACACAGAGAGTCAAAGAAGCGCTCGTGCTCAACAGCATCGGTGAGACGTCAATCACTGTCCCTTAAAACTCATCTTTGATCACCACAAATACATATTTAAACGTTGTTTCCTTGAAAAAAAATCTTTATGCCATAAAATATCTTGAATGTAACTCGACACCCTCGCCTCATTTAGTATGCACGATTCTATGAATATGCAAATGAGCCCCACCTCCACTCACTCCCTCAGAGATCCACTGGTTGTCGATCACACGTTGATCTGATTGGTTACAAGGTCATTTGTGACGTCAGAAACACCAGCGATTTCAGAGCGTGTTTGCCTGACGGTGGTGTTGGTTTGGCAGGTCAGCGTGTGTTTGGCGAAGAGGTTCTGGGTTTGACTCAAAGCTCGGTGTCTGAACTGCTGTCTCGCCCCAAACCCTGGACTAAACTCAGTCTGAAAGGAAAGGAGAACTTCATCCGGATGCATCGGTGGCTCCAAGACCCACTCAATGTCCAGAGACTGACCAAGACGGAACAGAGAGGTAAACATTAGTGATGCAGATATATCGGCCACCATATCGGTATCGGCCCGATAATACAATGTGTCTGATATATTAAAGCCGATGAATAATGTATTATTCCTTCAGCTGAGACGCTTCAGATGCGCACTGTTCATCATGATGATTATGAATTGCTTGAAATATGATTGAAATCACTTCAGAAAAGGAAAATACAGTTCAGTGCAACATGTGTCATATCGGCCACATAACATTATCATGAGAACATCAGAACTGTGTGTTTGAGACGGGGATTTTAATGATTTGTAATCAGACTCTCAAAAATTACATAAGAATTTGGATTTAGATTTATCAGATATATCGGTTATCAGCTTTCAAATATTAAGAATTATCGGTTATCGGCTTTAAAATATAAAGAGTTATTGATTATCGGCATTCAAATATAAAGAATTATCGGTTATCGGCCTTCAGATATAAAGAATTATCGGTTATCAGCTTTCAAATATAAAGAATTATCGGTTATCAGCTTTCAAATATAAAGAATTATCGGTTATCAGCTTTCAAATATAAAGAATTATCGGTTATCAGCTTTCAAATATAAAGAATTATCGGTTATCGGCTTTCAAATATAAAGAATTATCGGTTATCGGCTTTCAAATATAAAGAATTTTCGGTTATCGGCTTTCAAATATAAAGAATTATCGGTTATCGGCTTTCAAATATAAAGAATTATCGGTTATCGGCTTTCAAATATAAAGAATTATCGGTTATCGGCTTTCAAATATAAAGAATTTTCGGTTATCGGTATCGGCCAAAATTTGTATATCGGTGCATGCTAATTAGAGCCAGACCGATATTATCGGCCGATATTAGGCATTTTCCATAATATCGGTATCGGCAGTTATAATGGCCGATAAATGAATATTTAAAAAATAAAATAAAAATGGACGAAACATGCTTTAATCATGTCTCCTTGGCCTGTTATATTGAAAATGTATGTTTTACAATTTGCAGTATGATGTTATCTATTGCTAAACTATTGCTCATCATAGACTAGCTAACCACAAAGCTAGCTAACGCCACTATCATCAGTGGAAGACAGCTAACGTTAACATTAATGAGCTTGGAAACCACAATTAACTTTTTCTGCCTAAATAAAGTAATGATTACTGTATTAATAACTAGCATATCTCTAGTTACAGTCCCTGCATTGTAAAATGTAAGTTATACTTGTGAGGAGTGAACATTTAGACATAGAGAAAAAGTATCAAACGTATCTTGTGCAGAAAAGTTAGCTTTTCTTTTACACGTGTGTGAAATCCAACAATATTTAATAAATAAAAAAAATATCGGCCGATATATCGGAATATCGGATTTTAAAACCCAAAAATATTTGTATCGGTATCGGCCTTCAAAATCCTTTATCAGTCGGGCTCTAATGCTAATATACTGTATGTTTGGTAGAAGGATATTATTCAATGCACATCTACAACAACATGCATGTAAACATTTTCATTTTGTTCTTCTTGTTTGTGCTCACGCATACTTATGATAGTTTGATTATAAACTATATTTGAGACTATAGAATATATTAGAGGTGATTGTATAATTGTAGGTACATTTGCTCTCATTATTTTTGTATTATATTGTTATGGCCTGTAGTATATTTTGATCCATTTATAACAAATAATACAAAAATAATGACAGCAAATGTACCTGCACTTATACAATCAATTTAATGTTGTAGATTTAAGAAAATTACTATTTAGGGCTTTTGTAATAAAAAAAAGAATGAAATATTGACAAAAGTAAAGTAATAAAAATTTTAATTACAGAATTACATGATGGAGAAAAATAACATTATGGCTACTTATACTGTTATAATGTCTCTTACTGATCAATAAAACCGAAATTTAACAAAAATAGACAGGTTTGTATCATTTTATTTTATTAAGCCTATATTTTATTAGTTTCATTTTATATAGCCTTTTCATATTTTATTTGCTGTATAGTGTTTGTTCATTTTATTGACTAAACTATTTATTATATTGTTCAGAACTATTTTAAATAAACTATTTTATTCAGAATGCTAGCGTGTTAAGGGCAACAACTCAACCTGTAAGAAATCGAAAGGACAGAAGTACTCGTTCTTTCAACTTTCAACCTATAACCCATGTTGGACTTGCAAAACCTACATTCAAATCTGAGATTTCTCAATGACAATCGGGTGAAAGAGACAAATTTAGCCGTTTCGCCCCATAGACCCCCATTCATTTTGCACTCAGACTATCGCCCCCAGTGGAACTCTGGTGGAACTACAACCAAGGCTTTCCGTAGACGGGCTTTGCGCATGTCAACACAACGTCATATTATGCGACTACGTTCAACCCTGGTTCTACCTTACAAACAAATGGTTCAACGGAATAAAGTACAGAGTTAGTTACAAACTAGCTAGTAGTTACTAAGCCTCTAGTGTGGACGCAACCCTACCCTGTAAGCTACCAAAGTTATGGTAATAATGGAGCACAATGACTGTTGCCGTTTTTGTGGGAAAAAAATGAGAATTGCGGGCGTGCTTGTACATTCATCAAGCATCTTCGAGAAACGACACACGTCGAGTATTGCCGAGAGACTGCGGCATATTGGAGTGGCGGTAATTAAAACACCGGCAAAGTCGAACAGGATTTGTCAGCGGTGTCTCACCCTTTTATCGAGACTGGAACGTGACTTGCCGGTGTATTGGAGATGGGTGGAGGATGAGAAGAACGAGGAAACCTCCGCTGTAGAAACCATGACAGGTCGTTCAGATAAACGAAAAGTAAATGTAACGTCAGAGTAGTCAGTTGTAGCGTAGGCTACAGCCAACATCATTCAGTTCAGATTACTTGTTGAATATCAACTTTATCGCAAAAACACACTTACCATTTGTACGTGAGATGAGCCTCATCCACCACAATTCCCAAAACGTTGTCTTGGAAAACCTTATAGTGGCCAACATATCTCGCCATGGTATTATTAAAGGGATACTCCACCCAAAAATGAGAATTCTGTCATTTACTCGCCCTCAAGTTGTTGCAACCCTGTATGAGTTTCTTTCTTCGAGCACAAAGGAAGATATTTTGAAGAACGATTGGAACATTGGCACCATTGACTTCCGTTCCGATCGTTCTTCAAAATATGTAATAGTATCCCTTTAAAAAACTCCGAACACATCTTCCTTTTTAAAAATGACTCAAGTGCCGTTCATGTTTCAAAGAAAAGCTTAACTTAAATCATCCAGCTGTTCGCCAGCAGCCGAAGCCATTCTGTGTTTTCAAGTAGCAGTGAACCGTCGCATCTCTGTCGTCATTAAAGGAGTAGTTCACTTTAAAAAAACAACCTTTTGCTGATAATTTACTCACCCCCATGTCATCCAAGATGTCCATGTTGTGGAAAAGAAATGAAGGTTTTTGATGAAAACATTCCAGGATTTTTCTCCATATAATGGACTTCAATGGGGTCCAAACGGTTCAAGGCCAAAAGACACTTTCAGTGCAAACTGCAAACTGTTCAAAGGGCTTTAAACGATTCCAGACGATGAATAAGGGTCTTATCAAGCAAAACGATCGCTCATTTAATAAAAAAACAACAAAGTTTAAGTTTTATAAGCACAAATGCTCGCCTTGCTCTGTTCTGTGACGCGCGTTCGTGACTCTCCAGTTCGAACTCGTTCATCAAAATGAAAGTCAATTCGTTCGTTTCGTTCGTTGAATGAACCAAATGAATCGAAAAAAGTTTAGTTCATTTTGAGGACCGAGTTCGAACAGGAGAGTCACGAACGCGCGTCACAGAACAGAGCAAGGCGAGCATTTGAGCTTATAAAACTTAAACTTAGTTTTTTTTTATTAAATGAGCGATCGTTTCTCTTGATAAGACCCTTATTCATAGTCTAGTGTCGTTTAAAGCCCTTTGAACAGTTTGCACTGAAACTGTCTTTTGGACCTTGAACCGTTTGGTTCCCATTGAAGTTCATTATATGGAGAAAATCCTGGAATGTTTTCATCGAAAACCTTAATTTCTTTTCGACTGAAGAAAGAAAGACATGGACATCTTGGATGACATGGGGGCGAGTTAATTATCAGCAAAAGTTTTTTAAAAGTAAACTACTCCTTTAAGTTAAGCCCACCCGCCGACTCTATACGCGATGTGATTGGCCTGACTAGAGTTTGGTTTTTCCAGCTCGAAAGTCAACGGAGAGTTGCTAGACTACACTAGGGGAGTCTAGATTTCTAAGCTATCGGTTATCTGCTTTCACGAATTATCGGTATCGGCCAAAATTTTGATATCGGTGCATGCCTAGTAAATACATGTTTGGTGGAAGGGATATTATTCAGAAATATGTGCATATGAACGTATTAATCCGTTCTTCATCTGTTTGCTTATAAATGTGTGCAGCTCGCCTCAAACGTGACTCACAGCGGCCGTCCGATGGTTCGGGACACGGGTTCTGTCTCTCTGGCGGTTCGGGAGCGTGTGAGGCGATCAAAAGGCCTCGTGTGGTTCTGAGCGCTCATGAGAAGGACTCGCTGCGAGCGGCGTATGAGCTGGAGCCGTACCCGTCTCAACACACCATCGAGAGGCTGGCGTCACAGCTAGCGCTTCAAACTAGCACTGTCAGTAACTGGTTCTACAACTACAGGTAGGTGACCAGTGTTGTGTGCAACTCATTACAAGTAACTCGAGTAACGTAATCAGATTACTTTTCAAGTAACTAGTAAAGTAATGCATTACTTTTTCAATTTACAACAAAATATCTAAGTTACTTTTTCAAATAAGTTACACATTACTTTTTCACATTTATTGACTGACAGTTCCATGTTGAAAGAAATAAAGTGAGGTGTGTGTTGTATGTGTGTGTGTGTTAGGGATGGGCAACGATTAATCGCGATTAATCGCATCCAAAATAAAAGTTTGTGTTTACATAATATATTTGTGTGTAATGTGTATAATTAATTTGTATATATAAATTCCCACACATGCATGTATATATTTAAGAAAAATGTGTTATTAATATATCAAATATTTATATATAATATTAATTGTGAATAAATATTATATAAAATATATACATGCACATATTTCTTAAATATATACATGCATGTGTGGGTATTTATATATACAAATTAATTATACACACTACACAAACATATATTATGTAAACACAAACTTTTATTTTGGATGCGATTAATCGTTGCCCATCCCTAGTGTGTGTGTAAACATGATGGTTATTGTAGTTCTAGACTAAAAATGAATAAAAACAAGTAATGCAATCTCCGAATTTTGGTGAGAAAAAGTAACGGACATGTAATGTAACGCATTACTTTTCATTAAAAGTAACTTTCCCCAACACTGGTAACGGCTTCAGCTCTGGAAATTAAATAGTTCAATCTTGTTCCCAAATGGAGGCTCAAGGAAAACATATATGATTTAAGCGGCTTGATGTGGAATTGAGAAACTCTTGTTATTAGCGACACCGGTGGCCGTTATGTGAACTGCATTTTTTCGTTCTTCGATAAGGAGTAAGAATAAAAGTAGGAAATATGTTTAGCAGCGATTTACTGGTAATGGATATCCCGACGCCATATAAAGATGTGGATTTAGATTTATCGGCCGATATATCGGTTATCGGCTTTCAAATATAAAGAGTTATCGGTATCGGCCAAAATGTTCATCCTTAATAAAAGGTGATTAATGAACGAAAATCCTTACATGTAGCCTTTTTAAACCTGCATGACTACTACTAAATGTTATGCACTATCCTGTTCTTGTTCCCTGTTAACAGGTCCAGAATTAGGCGAGATGATTTAACCGAACCAGTACAAACCAGAACAGTTCAAAGTCCAGCCAGTTCAAGTCCAGTTTCAAGCGGTTTATTCTCGATCAAACAAGAAGCCTGTGATCCTGAGATGGAGGACACACACCAACACACGTGTGTTTCTGTGGCCGTACAGGCCGTCACTAAAGCTGAAGATCTGGACGAGCTTGTGTAATGAACGAATAAACAAACGAATTATTGACTTATCTTTTTTTTTTATTACATTCATACAGAAAAAGTGAATCCTAATTGAGCAAATGTCTGTTTTTTTTTTTATTATGGCTGAATTGTTTGTTTGATAAATTCTCATGTCAGTTCACTTTGACGGTTTGAGGACTAAAGAATGTGAAAGCGAATAAAAGTCCCTTTTGGTGACTGAAATAATTGGATTCTTATTTTTACTTTTCATTTGTATTTGTTGTGATGCTGATAAAAGCCTTTAAATAAATAAATGTGTTGAGATTTACAAATAAATTAAAATCAGCACAAAAAAAGAAAAGTTTTCAGTGAGGAGTCCGAAACACGGAATAAAACTCACTTATGAATTTCTGTAATTTGCATTTGATAAATAATACATAAATGTATTATTTTTAAATAACTGAATAAATCTTTATTAATAATTATTTCAATTTAATCCTAACTGCTATATTATTGTATATTTATATTTTGCAATTATTTAAATACATTTACTAAATTAAGACATATGTATCATTTATTAGTAGTTGCTATAAATATTAACAAATACATTTAAATAAACAAATAAAATGTAAATTAACACGCATGACGTTGTGATTGCGTCACGACGATGTAGCGTCACGTGTCCTGCAGCTCAGCTGAGAGGAACGTCATGGCGGTGTAGAGCGGATTTCACTCAATGTTTACATTCTGTTTATCGTCTCGTTTCTGGTTTTTCTCCGGTTTAACCGCAACAATGCACGTCTTCTGCGACTAACTTGGAAAGCAGGTGAGTTTTGGCCGATTACAGGGGCTTTATTGACCGGTTTCGGTGCCGGGATGACGGTTCCGCCCTCCATAAAAACAACAACAAACATAAACGACAACAACTACAGCACACTCTCTCATCGACATTTATATGTTTACCACTGAGTAACATGCACACAGGAGCTGTTTCAGTTGCACTGTCAGTTTAATGATTGTCAAACTAGCTAAACCTAGCCATCTATCTAGTCTGTATAGTTGGTAAACTACAGTTTTAGGCATCTCACTGCTGTCTAGATAGGCTTGATCTGTACTAGAATCAACAGCTGGCATGGATACTGCTGTAAAAAACACATAATAAATACGTGTAGGGATGTGCTTTTATCTGATCTACCTTTGCAAATTGATTATTTGATTTGGCATGTGACATTAGACACTCCTGCAATAGTGTCAGTCTCACTAAACCACTTCTGCAGGGTTGAAAAGAAGAACGATAACATATCTGTCATAATGGCTTACATATATTCCCAGTATAACAGCAGAACAAGCCTTTTTGTTTGCATAACCTTTCTTGGATTTGTGTTCATTTCCATCAGTGAGTTTTAACTTGCGCTGCCCTTCAAAATCTCGTCATGCAAAACCGGTTTCCTTTAAATCCACCCTCCTATTTATTATTGGACTATGAATTTTGATCAGGTTATATAAGGTGACGTATGACTCCTGCAAGCCTGACACTCATTAATAAGCCGTATTATGTTCCATTTGAGAATAATGGAGGATGTTTTGAAGCTTCCCCATTACTGTGGCTGAGTTTAGATCGCGGTCTGTGCACTTTATTCTGCTTCCTTTTCCTTTGTTTTGGTTTCACAAACAGTCTGTGAGAGAGTATGCTAAAGAAACGGGAGTTTGCGACACCATACATCATTGTGTAAATATGTTGCACTATATCAGAGTGCAATTTGCATTTTCCAATTTTGTATTAATATGTGTTATAATCTCTTGCAGCCTTTCTTTCTTTCTTTGAGCGTCTGACCCACACGCAGAGAGAGATCCAGATCAGGTCTGTAGACCTTTACGGTGACGTCACGTGTCAGAAATGCATTGCGTGGAATGTGTGCATGTTAGTGCATGTGTCCTATAGAGGATAATTTGCAGAAGAGTTACAGAATTTACTCTCCTGCACATCATCGAAGATGTTCACGTCTTTCTTTCTTCAGTCGGAAAGAAATGAAGGTTTTTAAGGAACACACTCCAGGGTTTCTCCATATAATGGACTTCAATGGGAACCAAACGGTTCGAGGTCCAAAAGACAGTTTCAGTGCAAACTGTTCAAAGGGCTTTAAACGACTCCAGACGATGAATAAGGGTCTTATCAAGCAAAACGATCGCTCATTTAATAAATAAATAACAAAGTTTTATAAGCTCAAATGGTCGCCTTGCTCTGTTCTGTGACTCTCCTGTGCATCAAAATGAACAAATCTTTTTGAGTAATTTGGTTAATTCAATGAACAAAATGAATGTGATTCAGAAAAAAGATTTGTTCATTTTGGTGAACCAGTTTGAACAGGAGAGTCACATTATATGGAGAAAAATCCTGGAATGTTTTCTTTAAAAACCTTAATTTGTTTTCGACTGAAGAAAGAAACACATGGACATCTTGGATGACGAGCGGGAGAGTAAACTATCGTTTTAATTCTGAAGTCGACTTGTTTTCTCCAATTCAAATTTCAACTTGTTTTTCTGATGCATGAATACACAATGAAACTAGAATGAACACGGTGTCCTGTGCTGACGCTGATGTGATCTCGGAAATGGAGAACTTGTAAGATAAGAAATATTGCGGTTATTAAAGCCTCCTCAGGTGTGGTAAAGATCGCTGAGACCTTACATGACTCCATTTATCACCCGAGGCCAGTAAATAAATCATAAATCTCAGAGATAGATGATTAATTGAGAATTATATTTTTTTGTTCAGTGATTTCACAATTTGCTCAATGCTCCTGTTTTGCCTGACGTTCTGTCAAAATGTTAATTCCAAAACAAATATTGAGCTAATTTGAATGAGTAATTTGATTGAACGAGTGACTAACTCACATTTGAACAAAACTCTTGAATTATAGTTCTTCTATAATAATATGAATTATTGCATGACAGAAATAATAGAACCGTACGGTTGACGTCATCGTGACATTATTTTCATGACAATTAAATTGGCATTACTTTAATCTAAAAACATTTTGAGTACTATAATGCAAATGATAGTATAATTAAAATCATAAAGCTTTTATATATCACGGTAGTATTTGTTTTAATGTGTGTGTTTATGTGGATTTAAATAAAACCTAATTGACAGTACTGTTTGTTTTACAGTACGGGTGAATTTACCTCGGAAATGAGCCTTCATTTTATTTATGTACAATATAATTTCTTGTTGTTTTTTAAGGTTAATATATTAAGTGTGTCTACAGGGTAAATCCATGCGATCTATAGGTTCAGTCTCATCTAATGCTGTATTGATCCATCAGCATGATCCAGCATCGCCTCATTGATTATGAAATGTTTAATATGGAGCAAAAGTTCATTTATTTCAGTAATTCAACTTAAAAGCTGAAACTAATATATTATATAGACTCATTACATGCAAAGTGAGATATTTCAAGCCTTTATTTGTTATAATGTTGATGATTATGGATTACCGATATGAAAACCCCAAATTCAAAATTAGAATATTGTGAAAAGGTTTTCATATCTGTAATCCATAATCATCACAATTATGACAAATAAAGGCTTGAAATATCTCACTTTGCATGTAATGAGTCTATATAATTTGATAGTTTCAGCTTTTAAGTTGAATTACTGAAATAAATGAACTTTTGCTCCATATTCTCATCGTTCCAGTTTCACCCGTCTTATTGATGTCTGAAAGGAGACATATTTGAGTAACATGCAGATGATCTTTATAACTAACTGCCCCGTCTCTCAGGTGGTCTGTGGCCTGCGGATCCGCTTTACCCAGCAGCCCCGGGGCCATGGTGAGACCTCTAACCCTCATTAAATCTGTCAGATCACTGATGTCTGATGGCTCTGTTCACATTGGATGCTTGTGTTGTGAAGGGTGAAGAGCGGCAGCTGAGTCCGGAGGCCCGTCAGAGCCCCGAGCCGGAGGACCCACAGGTATCAGCACTTCCTCCTTTAGCTTTAATTATTCATTTGAGTTATTCTCTGAGACGATCATGTGCACAAAACGAGGACGGAATCGCAGAATCCATTACGGCTGTGCAACAAATAATCGCATCCTAAATAAAAGTTTGTGTTTACATGTGTGTGTGTTTGCTTTGAACTCGCCAGAGATCGCCCAAAAAAAGGATATTTACAATTTGTTCATCACTGACCATTTAAAAACATACTTTACTTTATCATCAGCTTTACTTCCTGCTCACTATATTTTACTTCCTGTTCAACTACTTTACTTCCTGCTCATTACTTTACTGCCTGCTCACTATTTCATTAGTCATCATAGTCTCAAATGAAAAATACTGTGTATAAATATTTTGTATATATAAATACACGCACATGCATGTATATATTTAAGAAAAATGTGTTATTTATACATAAAATATTAATATATAAATGATATATAAATATATATATACATGCAATATTTCTCAAAAGTATACATGCATGTGTGTATATATATATATATATATATATATATATATATATATACACACACAAAATAATTATACACAGTACACACACACACATATATTATGTAAACAAACTTATTTTGGATTTTGCACACAGTTTATGAATATTAATGTGCAAAAAGGCTGCTATTGAAATATTTACGTTCAGTTTGACATTATAACAGAAATATATAACTGGTGTACAGTAGAATGTACGTCTAATAATATATTAATAATACACAATTTATACAAGTTTTTTTTAAATATCACAATATCCAAATTCGTTTTAATTTAAACATTAAAGCTCTATTGTGCAGAAGCACTTTGTTTGGCAAAAAAAAAAAAAAAAAATTACATTTCATATGATTACATTTTTAAAGACTCATTAATCTTGTTGTTAATAAGTTTTATGCATTCATTTGATAACCACCTTTTTTGATAGTAATTTACAAGCATATACATATGCACAATCATGTATGTACAATCATATATATATACTGTATATACACACTAAATAAAAATTTGGGATCAGTAAGATTTTTAATGTTTTTAAAAATGTCTTTTTAATGTCTTTTCTGCTCACAAAAACTGCATTTATTTAATTATTAATAGAAAAGAAACAGCAATATTATGAAATATATTATTACAATTTAAAATAACATTTTTTATGTGAATATATAGTAAAGTGTAATTTATTCCTGTAATCAAAGCTAAATTTATCAGCATCATTACTTCAGTCTTCAGTGTCACATGATCCTTCAGAATCACTCTAATATTATGATTTGCTATGATTTATGATTATTATTATCGCTGAAAACATTTTGTTTTCAGGATTCTTTGATGAATAGAAAGTTTAAAAGAACAGCATTTATCTGAAATAGAAAGCTTTCGTAATATATATACACACTGTATATTAGGGCCCTAGTGATGGTGTGTGTAATGGCAGGTTGTGTTCCCGCTGCTGCACGGCGAGTGTGTGAAACATGTCGGGGGGGCAGAGGAGTCTATCATTGCCTTAACCAGCTACCGCCTTCACATCAAGCTCCAGGAGAACGGCATCAGTGTAAGTGTTTCTCTCACACACAACGACACCTGAACATCTGTGCCGGGATCTCGGACGATAGATACGTGCCTGAGCGACAATATCTCCATCAAAGGATTTCAAAAACAAGCAATTTGTCTCTCTATGGCAGATGCAACATCAATCACAGCTCACAGCCAATCAGAAGAGTATGTGGGCGGAGTCTATCTCGGCGCTGATTTCCTT